TCTGTGAGATTTTTGAGCTGGAATATTAAAGGCATGGGGAGTCCAATTAAGAGATCTAGGATATTTGCGCATTTGAAACGTCTTAAAGCTGATCTAGTGTTTCTACAGGAAACCCACATGCGCACCAAAGATCAGGTCAGACTAAAATGTCCTTGGGTTTCTGAGGTATTTCATTCCAATTTCAATTCTAAAGCCAGGGGGTTTCTATTTTAATTGATAAGTCAATTCAGTTTTCAGCTTCTAAGGTTATAATCAGACAAAAATGGCAGATACTTAATTGTTACAGGTACACTATTCCATGTTCCCATTTTATTTGTTAACATATATGCCCCCAATTTCGATGATCCGCATTTTATGAATAAGCTTTTTGAATGTCTTCCCTCATTGAATAACAATCTCCTTATAGTTGGTGGGGACATGAACTGTGTAATCGATCCCAATTTAGATCGCTCTAACCCGCGAACTCTGACCCCATCATTAATGTCGAGGTTTCTTTCTGATTTCATGTCCAAAAATGCTTGCATTGATCCTTGGAGATTTTACAACCCTCACACCAAGGAATATTCCTTCTTTTCACAGATGCATCAATCTTTCTCTCGGATTGATTATTACTTTATTGATTCTAAACTAATTCCTAAAGTACTTACTGTTAATTACCACCCTATTGTTATTTCTGACCATACCCCTCTTTCTTTAGACATTCAGTTTTCCTCACAACCCCGGTACCCAACATCTTGGAGGTTTAATTTATTACTTCTTTCGGATGATAAGTTTAATAAATTCATTGCAGCTAAAATTGATGATTTTATTGCTATAAATAAAAATGACACGGACCCAGTCTCACGCTCACTGCTCTGGGAATCATTAAAAGCATACCTACGGGGACAAATAATCTCGTACTCTGCCCATTTGAACAAGTCCCGTAAAGCCAAATTGCAAGAACTCTCTATTATTATCACTAAATTAGACCAACAACCTGCTACCTGCCCCTCCCCCAGTTTACTTAAACAACGTGTTGAGCTACAGACTGAATTTGATTTTATTACTGCTAATGATGCAGAGCGACTTCTCTTATGATCACGCGCCACATATTATGAACATGGTAATTAGGCAAGCCGGCTTCTAGCTCATCAGCTACATCGCCAGGCAGCCTCACGTATGATTCCCCAGATAAAAGATTCTTTAGGCACATTGCATAGAGATCCCACCACCATTAATTCTGTTTTTCACTCTTTCTATTCCTCTTTATATAAGTCTGAATCTCCACCCGACACTACTGAAATTAACTCGTTCCTAGATAGCCCCAATTTCCCAGTGATAAACCCAGATTCTGCTAAAGACCTTGACTCACCATTGACGGTAGAAGAAATTATTCTCGCTATGAGAAACATGCAAAATAACAAAGCTCCTGGCCCTGACGGATTCCCAGTTGAGTTTTTTAAAAGATTTCAGGATAAACTGTCCCCATTACTGCATGCTGTATATAAGGAATCGCTACAACATGGTACTCTCCCTCCCACTTTAAGACAAGCCTCCATAAGTCTCCTTAAAAAAAGATAAGGATCCAGTTCTCTGCAGCTCCTACAGACCTCTCTTATTAATAAATGTGGATGCTAAGATCCTTGCGAAAGCTTTGGCCTATCGCCTAGAAAATATTGTACCAACTATTGTTTCACCTGAGCAAACACCTGAAGTAGTGATCTCGGTTGACGCTGAAAAAGAATTCGACAGGGTCGAATAGGACTATTTAGTCACTGTACTAAAGAAATTTGGGCTGGGAAATGTGTTCATTTCGTGGATACGTCTCCTCTATACATCCCCACAAGCTAGTATCTCCACAAATAACATTTAATACAGTTTTTTCACTCTTGCCCATGGCACCAGGCAGGGGTGTCCTTTATCTCCCCTATTGTTTGCACTAGCTATAGAGCCCTTGTCACTCTCTGAGGTCCTCTTCCATTTTTACTGGGATTTCACGATTGGGCACAGAATCACTTTATGCTGATGATTTATTGCTGTATGTCTCAGATCCTGTCCTTTCCATCCCAACAATTTTATCTACTTTTCAGAGATTTGGATCATTTTCAGGCTATAAAGTAAATATCTCTAAAAGTGAATGCTACCCTGTCAGTGCTTCAGCATCACAGCTCAAACAGTCTGACATCCCTTTTAAATTTAGCCTGTCTGGCTTTAAGTATCTTGGGATCAATGTAACCAGAACCCTAAACTCTCTTTTTTCTGCTAATTTCCTGCCTTTAATGTCTAAAATTAAATTTGACCTCCAAAGATGGGAAGCTTACCTCTCTCGTTAATTGGAAGAATTAATGCAGTCAAAATGAACATTTTGCCCAAATTTTTATTTTTGTTCCACTGTCTCCCACTTTTCCTCCCAAAGCAGTTCTTTAAAACAATTGATCAAACTATTTCTCACTTCCTATGGTGTGGAAAGGTACCCAGGATCCGCAAATCCACACTTCAGAGATGTAAATTCAATGGTGTAAAAGCGCTTTGACTAGTCGGAAGACTAGAAAGGCGCTATACAAGTACAGGTCCATTTACCAATGGATTGTCACTTCCAAATTTTCAATTGTATTATTGGGCAGCACATATCCACAAGATTTCATTTTGGTTCAAATCAGTTGATCTGCCATGGTGTGATTTAGAGGCGCAGTCATGTGTTTCATCCTCCCTAACTGCTTTACTTACCTCTTCTATTCCATCCAACCTCTCTGGCTTTACAAATAACCAAGTGGTTCGCTCCACACTTAAAATTTGGTATCAATTAAGTCAGCATCTACTTTAGTTCCTTCATTGAGGAATCATTTATTTCGGCCTGCACTTACAGATTCAACCTTTTTTGCATGGCATAATAAGGGCCTGAAATGTTTTAAAGACCTTTACAAGGATGGTATTTTTCGCAGCTTTACAGATCTCTCAGGAGAATTTCATCTCCCACCCTCTCATCTTTTTCGTTACTTTCAAACAAGACACTGCGCTAACGCTTTGTTTTCAGTTTTTCCCTCATTACCATCAAGTCTACAGTGGGAGGAGCTTCTAAGCCACGACCCACTTCAGAAGTCACTCATCTCTAAAATTTATAATGAAATCCTGTCTTTTGATTGCTCACCAGTTACCAAAGTCAAGGCTGTTTGGGAACAAGAATTGGGTCTACACCTGGGAGATGACTGGTGGGACACTGCTCTTAAGAAAATTTACACTAGCTCAGCCTGCGCTCGTTTCACACTTATACAGTTTAAAGTATTGTTTAGAGTCCATTATTCTAAAACTCGACTGTCACAAATCTATCCCAGTATCACCGACAATTGCGACAAATGCCATGCTTCATCTTGCAATTTAACTCATGTTTTACTCTTGTTCGTTACTTTCTCGCTTCTGGCAGAATTACTTTGATACCATGTCAAAAATACTTTCAATGACCATAAAAGTCTCCCCTCATGTCGCCATATTCGGGCTCCCAGAAGACCACAACCGGTTTACCTCTAACCAATCAGATATTTTAGCTTTTACTTCCTTACTGGCAAGACGCCATCTTCTTCTTCACTGGAAGTCAACTTCTTCTCCTGTCTTTTGGCTTCCCTTGTATTTTTATTTACACCATGTAGCTTAAACCCTTATTCACTTATTACATACAAGAATCCTCAGTTACTTATTTATTATTCTTTTTTTTTTTTTTGTACATTGTTTGTCGCCCGATCATGTTCCATGCCACAAATATAAAATAAAAAAACATCCTAGGAGGCAGACCGTATGTCTTGCTCTTCTTTCATCATGATGCACAGTATTTCTATTGTATCGATATCTTTACATTTTCAATTGTGATGCGGATGTGATGTGATACTCAATGTAATTATAACATCGTCTTATAACAGCGTCTTTATATCTTTCTTAACTCTGATTGGTTGTTTTTGTTCAGGCCCGGTGGATTCCTGTAAATACCATTAGGAGCACTAGGAGGAGCCAGAGGAAGCAGATTTTATTATATTAAATTTTTTTTTTTTTACCTTTTTCTTCTCTGTGCTTTGCCCCACCTCTTCTTCCTCCTGCCTGTGCGCCTCCTCCCTCTTCCTTTTCACTCCTTTTCCCTCCTCTCCATCACTCTCTCCTCCTCCTTCCGTCTGCTGCTGCTTTGGTTGGATTTTCTCTCCTTTCTCAGCGTCTGTCTCCTCTTGCTCTTTTGTATTTTGGCCCATACAGGTTTCAGGATCTGCTGCTGCAATTTCTCCTTCTTGTACAGCTGCTAGCTGCTCCTCCTGATGGGTGGGCGGCTGCGTGTCACTTACGCTGGCTTCTTGTGTGGGTTCAGCTCCTGACTCCTGTTGAGTTGAAACATTGTAACAAGGACAGCTTTATTTATCTGGTATTGGTGGGACATAAACATGGATAATGTAGGAGGACAGAGAATACTCAGCACCCTATTATAAAAAGAAACATCCCTGACATTAAGACAGTTGGGACCCATCTCTTAAAAAAACAGGCCTAACAAATGTGTTGAATGCATGTTTTTGACAAAACATTTGAAAAAGTGAATTTTTTTTTAATATTTAGAAAAAATTGTTGTTGTTTCATCCTGATTTACATCATGTAGCAGTCTTCTGCCTTAAGCTTTTTTGCAGGCATGTCTACCTTTTAGAGATTTCAGTGGAAAGTTTGGATTCTAAGATTCATCGCGATGCAGATGTGGAAGATTGTGCATCCACGCAGTGACAGAACGTGACTGAACTGAATACAGAAACAGTTAAGCTGTACATACTTATGTACATACTACTTATTGCTTAAGTAGGATAGGTAGAGGCTTTATTATGAAGCCATAGTATTCTTTAAACAAGTAACAGTCTGCAGACATCTAGAGGAATCAGTAGCTGGCTGTATATCCTGGTGTGTGTTTAATACTAACTGTGAAGATTTCATTTAAGATTCTAAAATGTAAATCTGTCAGGTGCAGATTTGTTCCTGCTGAACTCAACCTCGGATTCAGTAACAATCCAGGGTCTCTCTCAGAACGTAAACCACCTCAGTCACTGCTAATATAGAAGACCTCTGTTTGCCTCTGCATTCTTCGGACAGTGGTGGAAGCAGGACTGTGAGGAATGTGGAGAAAAGAATGTTGTGTTTGGAGTTCTGCCCATTGTCAACATAAGACTCAATATATCTGCTCTGAATGCTTTATAGAACAGCACTGACGTTTTCTCTACAGTAATGGGCCTCAATTACAAAGATAACTTTTACTGTGGTAACAATGTGATTTCCATTAAATCCATCACAGATACCCGTATCTTATTTAGATAACCTTCTGCTCACCTACCATTGTTTTCCCTCCTTCCCTCATACCATCCTTTGTTCTGTTTCTCTTTCTTCCATTCTTTCCCAATAGGTCTACTTCTTAAACGGAACTCAGCTAAAGAAACCTCAACCCCTTTTAGTACACTATGTTTTACCTTTTTTTTTTTTTACCAGCTTACACAATTCAAAGGGCTTCGTCTTGTGCACCTAAGCTTTCTTCAGTGTTAAAACTTATGAACACTTCACCTGCTTTCACTGCTTGGCTTTCACCTGACTCACTGATTACAGTTTAAAAAGGGACAGGTCAAACATCTCTAGTCTAATTTAGTCTAATCTTTAATGCCATTTATCCATCTAGATTGTTGAAATATTCATTTGACATGTACTCTGATCTTTTAGTTTGTACCATCTGCTAACATGGAGCCAGCAGGCTTTATGACCAATACTGCAGTCAGCCACCAGGGGGCGATCAAGATGTTTTAACTTTACTATTGGACAGCCGTCATACAGGCAAGAGAAGCTCTCTAGTGATCACAGGCAGCGTGGCTGTTCAAACCTGTTAACATGGCTGCTGGCGTGACGCACAAGCTGCAGTAGTTAGAAAGAGAAGAGTTAAATTAGCCTATCATCCTTCGCTTCGTTATCAAAGAAGAGATTTAAATGGAGGTAACTACCTGCTGATTCTTATTGGTTATGCATTCTTCTGATGCAGCTATTGGTTCAGTCTCATTGGCCCCTTGCTCCCACAAGCTTGAATCCTCCTCCGGCCCTTCTCCTTCTCCTTCTCCTTCATTGAGGAGCATTCCCCTGGCTTCTGCCCCCTCGTCTCGACTCCTCTTCCTCGCTCCACCCCGGGCCTCCTCCTCTCTCCCATCCTAGTGCTCCTCCGGTGACACTAAACTGTGGCTGGTGGGGC